GATGATGGTAGTATTGTTGGTGGTCTAAGTCAATCAGATGATGTTGGATCTTAAATCACTTGCATGATCTATTTGATTTCCTTCCTACTGCAAGCTTTCCGTTTTAAATGATTATACAATATGTGCGACCTGAGATTACTATAACACTGCTATAGTAGACTCATCGAGGTGTTCGGTCTGTGTGAATTTTATACACAAAAATGCTGCCCTTTTCTGCACTTGCTCTACTGATTTGCTCTTATTTTGGTTTGTTATATCACGAACTGTGTATTCATATTCCCCTGTAGGTCTTTCCATGGATGTTAATGCTGCTGACATAACATGTTTCGTGCAGTCTTTACAGTTTCCGCGAATAAACCCTAATGCCTTGTGGTGATGTTTACGCCTGAACATTTGTAGACTTCGACACTGTCTAATGTATTTTCATGCAGTTTGTTTGTTCTTTATATAATCTCTCGATGTGCTAGTCTTATTGCAACCATCATGCATTTTTTTTTGCATTGAAACTCGTTTGCCATTTATTTTCTCAATTTTGCAGTGTTACCTCTCTCCGTAAAAGCTAGGTCACCTTTTGCTTCATTGGTAATGGTTCAAAAGGCTGTCATTTGCAAAATAAGTGGAAAGTTTTCTTAGTGGCAATCATACCACATCTTCTTATTTTAATCTTCAAATAAAGTTGCTATTTCTGGCATGTCGTTGCTTACCAATTACCGATTAGGCCAATTAAAGGTCCGAGAATCATTGTAGCACAAGAAGTGCAAACCTAGTGTAGAGATAGCTCATTCAAGGTGAACTTCTCTGTTCTCTTGGAAGGGGCAAATCCATCAACGATTGGTTTAAGAGTTTACGTCGTAGCATTCCAAGTTGTGTAGTAGGAGTTGATGTAGCACTTTTTCGAACGCCTTTGTAAAGTCTAGAAGGATAGTATCAATTTTGGAGTCTCTTAAATTTTGATGAAATGTCACGAGTGGTTATAATTTGTTGAGATTCGCATGATCATTTTTGCGGAATCTGTGATATGTAGAAGTACGAATTTCATTTCTGTCAAAAGTGATCCATTATTATCTACATGAACTATGTGTACCAAGACCTTGCATGTGATGGAGGTCAGTCGATACAGATCTGAAATTACAGGCTATATAATGTGCCTTTAATCTTTCTTGAAAATAGGAACTATTTGATACAGCCAGAGACATATTATATAATTGTATTATATGTCTCTGGAACAGCTCTGTAAGACTGATAGTAGCAAGTTGGTCTTCCAACTATAAACAATATATAGTAAAACAATGTTATTCGAAACAAGGACCCGATCAGCTTTATGAGGTTTTTAAAAGATTAGTTTAACAGTTTTGACTCCTCTTATGTTAATTTCAATATCGTTCATAGTAGGATGGGACTAATCCGATTGTTTGGAATGTTATTTTGGTTTTCTGTGATAAATACTGACTGGAATTTAGTTGATCATTTGTATATCACCTTTGCTCGATCATCACTTTGAATACATTCCATTTTTTTAAAAAGATAATATTCCTGTTCATTCTTGTCTTTTGCTATTGTATAACCAACATATCTGCTGATAATCAGTAAAATTTCATCCTTATACTTCTTCTTGTCTTGGTATTGGTATGGCACGGTGACATATTATTACACCGCGCGTTTGTCGTGTAGCGATTAATTCAAATGCCTCCCCCGCCCACAGGCACTAGACGTTCTATCAATAATAATAAAATATGGGCAATGGGAAGAAAATAGTGTCAATGTATATGAAAAAAGAGGAAGAAAATAGTGTCATTGTATATAAAGAAGAGAGACACTATTTTCTTCCTGTTGCCCATATTTTATAATTATTGATAGAACGTCTAGTGTCTGTTACCCGCTCTAACAATAGTCTGTGAATGATCTGACTTGGTCTGTTGAAGATTCTATCTACATGAATATGTCTAGTTGAATTGCGTCATTTACAGTATTCATAATAAGCTAAATTTGAGTGAGCCTGTTCTGGTTGGAGGTCTGAGGAAACGATATTTATGCATTGAATGATTTTACGCCTGATTTCCTTTTGAAAAAGTGTTTGAAATACCTGGCATGTCTCTTTCCTTTTTTGTTTCTTGGTCATCTCAGATAGTGCTAAGATAAATAGCGATTATCAGGTCCTCTGCATATTGATATTTTACAATATAAATATGATGAAAATCTGATAATCGATTTAATATCGGATTGTATTTGTGGATTTTGCATGAATTAAAGAAACGAGTGTTTTAAGATGTTTTAAAATTAAGATGAGCTTCATTTTTTGTTAGAATGTCCTCTTTATGATACTCAAAGGGAAGACTTTTTTCAATACATATCTGACAATTGTTATAATTTTAAAAATTTAAATAAATCTTCTAAATTTTTATGGCTCTTGACTCAAGAAAATGTAACTCTTATGGAAAAACTGGGCTGTTATATTTGTGACTGTTTTGAATTAAGGAGATCAGGTATGCATATTGACACTAAGTCAACATATCCAACTAAGTCAGACATCACGTGACTTTTGTGACGTATACTAGCCGCCATTTTGTATTATATTGCCCCATATAAAATGCATAGGTGCTTCAATAAAGTTTAGTTTTCTCATGAACCTGACCCGTTTTCTAACTTTTGCAAATCAATCCTTGATATTCAAACATAGTTCTATCAAACAATGTTGGTCCTAACAGTTTAATTTTTGATTAAATTCTGTCACTGGAGAATCGTAAAAACATGTACTTTTTCTCGTTATTTCTCCGTTGACTCAATGCTAAATGTACCGATACCCATGTCTACTTGTATAACAAATTAAGAAATTCCGTTAATAAAAATAAAACTTTGCAAATCGATTAAGTATATTCAAACATATATCTGGCGAAAAATACTATTTAAAACAGTTTAATTTCTGGGCAATTTCGGTCAAAAATCGATTTAAAAAAGTGAATATTTCGGGATTTTTCAAAATGGCGGATGATGTATATGGAAATGTTGCATCAAATCGAGGATTTGTATAGAAAGACTTTCCTTGATTTAATTTAATTTTCATGTAGAATCTCTGATGTTTCTGTTATTTTCTTTGGTGATATTTCGATATGATTGATTTCAAAATTTATTGATTAAAAAAATATTATTTTAAGTGTGACACGGGAGCATTTTATTTTGACAGATATCCAGGATTAGTGTTACCAGAAAATAGTTAACAATAAAAATTTTTTCTCTTCTTTTTTTAAAAGGTTTTTTTCCTGTTTTCTGTATAATTTATTTTTCTTTAGAAATATATTTATACATTCCTTTTAGAACAAAAAAATATTTACGTCCCAAGAGAGAAAAAAATCCCAACAATTATTATAGATAAATATTCCATACCTTCAAAATCCCATCACTTGACGAACAGGTGAACTCTGACTTTGGATGTAATGTTACATAACAATATCTGGTCAGGTAGACGTGCAAACCAAAAGCAACCAGGTGACATTAAACATCCTGTGTATTCATGTATTACCAGAGTTTAAATTTTGTGATATACAAAAGTTTTCATAACTGTACAAATAAATATCTTCTCTTCCCCGTGTCAAACCAGAAGAAGTATGTATCATAATAAACTTTAAGAAAATATGAATATTATAAAAAAAAATCTTTAAAAAAATTATTTTTGCTTTAAAAGATAATCAAACTAATATTTATGTTTCTATAATTATTTTAAAGAAATATTTTGATTCAAATTTTAATTTAAATGGATTTTGTATTATTTCGTAAAAAATTAAACGAGATTTCATTGAATATGATTTTATTATTTATTTTTTTAATTCAATATTTTAAGCAAAATCCAGGCATTCAATAAATCGATATAAAGTTAAACTTGTGTAAAAAAATTTGTTATTGTATACATTTCAACAGAGACATATAATACAATTGTTCTGATTTCAACAACATTGTATACCCGACAATATTTATCGACAGAGTTATCGGTCCTGAATAGGACTGATATAGTTGGGTATGGTAAATGATTTGAGAATGAATGCATATAATGTAATTTTATTCTTTTATTCACAATATATATGTGGTTTTTGGCTCTGATTCTGACCAATGCTAATATACTAAATATATATTTTCAAGTGACTATTATTGTTGTTGTTACCAATTATGTAAATCAATTGTATCTGATTTTATGCCCTTTATGGGCCCTGTAATTTGGGAAATAAAAATATTCTATTCTATTCTATTCACCAGCAAACTGGAAGATGACTTGATAAGTTCGGGTCAAACGTATCAACGTCGGTTCATTCATTATGACGTCGTTCAAAGTGATTTAGGCTGGGTTAACGTCACAAAGCCGTGATATGCAATTTTACGAAGAGCTGAGCAGGGGAGCTGAGCTGACGGTGATACAGACAGTGGAAACACGGATAATACCGTTATATCAGATAGTCATCATACATATCGATAGTAATATTTATCATATACTTACAGTAAATAACTTATAATTTTCATAATGGGTCCTAAGCAAGCTGATAAGAAAATGTATCAACTGCTTCCGGTTATTAGATCGCATACTTGTATTTTTCGTTATCGGATGGCATTTCATGATATCATGACATATGGCTGATAAAGGGTCTGATATGCAAATGCCATGTAATAATCTATACATTTTATACCTCAGTTTGTATTTTCTATTCAAATACGAGTAAAATGACTATATTCCAGCAGGAACATATATATTGACTGAACTACTGTTCCCAGATTCCAGGCTTGGGAAATAGTTTCAATGACTATTTGAATATTTTCCCTAGGGATAATTATTCGCCTGAGAAGCAAACGTTTTCCCAAACTTTTTTATTTTTCTAGTGTTTCTAGTTTTGACTTAGATATTCGAGATTCGAGAAGTAGTCAGTTGCTATATCCCTCAATATTGTTAAATAACTGTATGATACTGTACAATTCGTTTGATACTTGTATTACGGTTTGGGTAATATCACGTGACTAATTAGGAATCACGTGTCATTTGTTTACAAACATCTATAGCATGGCGTTAATACAGTAATTTTCCATCCGATAAAAACACAATAAATTGATGAAATATGACAGAATCTCAATCGGTAAGTAATTGAAATACATTTTACATGCATTTTATGTTATACAACCGTTGAAGCTGATTATAAAACGTGCCTAATCGTTACAAACAAGATAAACTAAGGAAGTGAAAACTGAACGCATTACGCAATGAATGTTATTATGTCAGTGTTAGATTGTATCTATGAAATTTACACAAAACACGTCAATTCTGATTTTGAAACCATCGTCTAATTTTATTTTCCACCATTTTTATCAGATTAAAGATCTAATTATACCTTAACAAAGTAAATTATTCCCAAGCTCATATAAAGTATTTTCATACGGCAGTTTTACGCAGTGTTTGTAGATAGTCTTTGGATATTCATATCTTTAAAAGTGGTTGAGATTTGATCAAGATTTTTTACAATTTTAAAGTTCAATATATTTCAAATATAAAAATGAAAACAGTTTCTAACTATTGAGATTTTATTTCTTATGCATTTAATATATCCAATTGCATGACTTATCTATTTGAGATTGGGCGTTCAACCACACCTACTTCAATACATGTACATATTTCGAGTTCTTCTAAAAAAGGACAAAATTTTGTGTTTTAAACAGCACTGTTTCGAACATCATGCAGTACTATCATGTTTTAAATGATTGCGGGTCGGTGAAGTTGAACAAAATTAAATTATTACTATAAATATATACATATTACATGTATATATATTACATATATACAATTCCTTGATGTGTATTTTATTTATATATTTACATGTATGTCTCTGTTATTACATAGTAATATTGAATGTTGTACGTTTTTACCTCAGATTATTATAACCAAAACATGTATGTCTTTGCTACAACACATAATCTCAGGTTTTGGCACGTTAACACGAAAATTAATGTTTTATCCAATTATAATCTCGATCTTTAACGAGACAATGGCATTATTAGGATCTTGTATTATCAATTAACAGTATTTTGGCAACCATATAGATTTTTTAATATAACCATAGATACATCTATGGTATAACTTTCAAGGTGGTATTGGTTAGATATTTAATAATATGAATGATATGTTCACGCTGGTCTGGGTATGGGGAATTCATTCCAGTATATATTTTTTTTTAATTTTAGGCCATTTTTCTATATTCTTCATTTTGTTTGACCATTATCCTGCATTCCGCCACTACATTATTCGCTATTCTTTATTTTTAGGTCCATATTCTCAATTCATCATTTTTTGTAACATTATACTGCATTCTTTAAACCCCATCCAGACTCTCATACACGTAGATTGTGAGAACTTTCAAAAAGATTCAATTGATAACCACAAACACACTTACATGTAGGACTCCATGTGCCACCCCAACCACGTGGTGGTGGCTTTGGTGGTTGGGGTTGCGCAATAAATTAACACGTCAGTATTTAACAGTTTATTCTGTGGGATTGCCATATGGAAATGTTATTTCCTAAACACATTTGTATTCATTTTTTTCCTTTCCGGTCTTGTTCGCACGGCTCTTGGTTATTCGTAGCACTTACGTACCATGGTTACCGCTATACATAATTTGATTATTCAGATGGTCCAATTTAACAAAGTTGTCTTCGAGCATAATACTGTACCTATTGTTATTTTATTCAAGATACGCGTTGGTTATCATTGGGGATAATATAAACGACGAAAATATTGTAAAGAGAATGTAAAGTGCGTAAAATATGATCTGGATTCTTACAGTTTTATTTATCCTTAAAAATAACGCTTAGTCTGTTAAATTTTTGTGAAAATGATTTTACCATTATTTTTCAAGTTCTGTTATCACATGATTTGTATTATTCTGTATATCATTCATTTCTGTTATCAGTAATGCCTAATTCTTTTATACTTTATTTTTTAGCTAATTTTTCTTTATTCATTTTTCTCCCTTATTCTGTAAACCCCACTCGGAACCTCACAAAAGTGTACAGATTTTTAAGTTAATGAATAGAAACAAACGTTAATTTACTTCTTTTTCCAGTTCCCAGATGTGGTAGAGTTAAACGTGGGTGGACGACATTTTACTACTAGCTTGCTTACATTAACCAAATGCAAGGACACAATGCTAGGTGCTATGTTTAGTGGAAAATATCAAGCGATAAAAGATCAAGACGGTCGCTACTTCATAGATGCTGATGGGGACAATTTCGTATATGTTTTGAATTATTTGAGATACGGAGAACTACCACCACCAAATTTAGTTACGACAATTTATCGTGAAGCCGTCTACTTTGGGCTTCATGGAATGGTGGAGCAACTTGAACTAAGCCCGTCATTACTGGCACAAATCCATCGAGATTCATACAGAGCTCAATTTACTGGATACCATAAAATAATAAACGCCATATTAGATAGGATTAAAGAATGTAGCACCAAGAATACGGAAACAACCACATCGTTGCTCGTTGTATTGTTTGCAAGAGAAAAAAAGAAAAAACTTCCAAATTTTGATAAAAATCATACTTGTTTCTCCAAGTCAAAAAACCGACCCAAAAGAATGAGTGACGTAACGTTTGGTCCATGGAGAAATAAATCCACCACAGAAAAGGACGTGATGAATTGTGTTGTGTTTGACTTACAAGAGAAAGGCTTTATTATAACACAAGAAGCAACTGGACAGTGTGGTTTCAAATGTGAATCACCACCTGAGAATACCGAAGATTCGATTGTTGAAAACTGTACACATCTTTGTTACACTCTTACATTTCATTGGTGGAAAATGTAAAAAAAAATAATCAGAAAACACGAATTTCAGACATCCTTTAGTGGAAATAAAAAAAAAACACCAGCTGGACAAAACGAAAAACATCGAACTTTAGACATACAAAATGTATTGTCCCTTGATTTTAATTTTAATGTTTTATACGTCTACACGCGCTCTGTAGATATATGACATTGACGTGAATATACAATATAAATATGCATTGTATATCCAATGTATGAACATGTGTATTTTATCAAAATTTTATCAAATTTTACTGTTATGATGTTGAATATTATAGATTTTATCATATTCGTTATACATGTTTTACTAAATCCATGGTTTGTTATTTTTGTTTTTTTAAATCCGTAAAGTCGTCTTAGACGTCAGTGTTTGCATTTTCCAAAAAATCAAAGTATAGCTATGATACATTTGTATTATCGGTGTCTTTATTTGTTAAAGCGACTATACATATGCACCCTTTCGGGGTACGATAAAAAAAAATGTGCCGTCCGTCCCCTCACCTACATCATCCTGCTTAGTCGCTCCATAATTCTCGTATGTGAGCAGACATTATCAGCGACGTGACAATGTCTTTTAAAAAAAGTTATCAGCGACGTCACAATGTCTTAAAAAGTTACCAGCGACGTCATAATGTCTTTAAAAGTTATCAGCGACGTCATAATGTATGAGGAGGCGATGCGTGAAACTGTGTATATAAGGGAAGGGAACAGACCAGTTATAGAACGATAAACAGATTATAGAGTGTTCTACGTATATATATATATATCGTAAAATATCAATAGATAGAAAACACGAAAATCTATACGTGAGAGTATATACATGTGAATGAAACTGTTGTATAGTAGAAAACACGAAGAAAAGGGTTTATAATTTCGGGGGGGGGGGGGGGGGGGGCACTTACTACAAATACTAGTATGTAATGAGTGGTAGGGATGAGCCACTGGAATAGGTCACTATTTCAAGCTTCGTGGTTGATGATAATGTCGGGAGATTTAGATGAAATATATGAAAAGGTCGCTGATTGTATCCTTAATATCTGAAAGTTTAGACATCTGATAACTTTCTCACAGATGTTATTAAATCCTCTGACAGTCGTAAATGCATCAGTTATTTTGACAAATATATATATCTCTTTCTATAAAAAGGGTATTAATCGTGATAGCTACATGTATATATATATTTCTCTAATTCTTCGTCAATTTATCCCTTTCTGCACCCATTGTATAAAAAAATTAATCAACGTGTGGTCCGTTTGATCTCAGTTCTTCATTGCTTAAAATCCGATTATGACGTCGAATTTTCTTGCTTTCCTATGAATTTCTTATTGTGACGGCATGAAAAAAGGCGATCATGCCTGATGACGCGAAAATTTGGAAGGCCATATTAACTCAATTTAGGATAGACTCTTGAATTTTAAGGAGTCGAAATAGGATGAACGGATCATATAAACCCGAAGGAAAATATAATACAAGCCCAAACGAAAAAATATAAACAAGTCTAAATTGAAAACAACGTTCAAACCTATGATTGCGATGGATAAAAACCGCAATTTTTATACGTGTGCATGTAAAACTTTCTTGGTAGAGGGGTCAAAATACAGCACAAACAACATTTTCCAAAAGACCAAAAAGTGAAAAGTATATTTTAACAAAACGCATTTGACTAACAGGTCGAACAACTGATGTTCTTAAACCCTGCTGACTGCCATTGGCGATTGCCAAATAAATTGATCACCAGATGTAATCGAACAGAAAACAAAAAACTTGCGAAAAAGATGGAATATCGCAAACATGAAGTGCAAATATTTGTATACACCATATCCGGATTTCGACAATTAATGTCTCTTCAGTGGTGTTAGGGATCGAAACGGTATTTGGAAGGCCATATAATTTACCTCAATTAAGGATAGACTCTTGAATTTTAAAGAGTAGAAATAGGATGAACGGATCATATAAACCAGAAGGAAAATATAATACAAGCCCAAACGAAAAAATATAAACAAGTCTAAATTGAAAACAACGTTCAAACCTATGATTGCGTTGGATAAAAACCGCAATTTTTATACGTGTGCATGTAAAACTTTCTTGGTAGAGGGGTCAAAATACAGCACAAACAACATTTTCCAAAAGACCAAAAAGTGAAAAGTATATTTTAACAGAACGCATTTGACTAACAGGTCGAACAACTGATGTTCTTAAACCCTGCTGACTGCCATTGGCGATTGCCAAATAAATTGATCACCAGATGTAATCAAACAGAAAACAAAAAACTTGCGAAAAAGATGGAATATCGCAAACATGAGGTGCAAAAATTTGTATACACCATATCCGGATTTCGACAATTAATGTCTCTTCAGTGATGTTAGGGATCGAAACGGTATTTGGAAGGCCATATAATTTACCTCAATTAAGGATAGACTCTTGAATTTTAAAGAGTAGAAATAGGATGAAAGGATCATATAAACCCGAAGGAAAATATAATACAAGCCCAAACGAAAAAATATAAACAAGTCTAAATTGAAAACAACGTTCAAACCTATGATTGCGTTGGATGAAAACCGCAATTTTTATACGTGTGCATGTAAAACTTTCTTGGTAGAGGGGTCAAAATACAGCACAAACAACATTTTCCAAAAGACCAAAAAGTGAAAAGTATAATTTAACAGAACGCATTTGACTAACAGGTCGAACAACTGATGTTCTTAAACCCTGTTGACTGCCATTGGCGATTGCCAAATAAATTGTTCACCAGATGAAATCAGACAGAAAACAAAAAACTTGCGAAAAAGATGGAATATCGCAAACATGAGGTGCAAAAATTTGTATACACCATATCCGGATTTCGACAATTAATGTCTCTTCAGTGATGTTAGGGATCGAAACGGTATTTGGAAGGCCATATAATTTACCTCAATTTTGGATAGACTCTTGAATTTTAAAGAGTCGAAATAGGATGAACGGATCATATATATATATATATATATATATAACAAGTCTAAAAGGGTACAACATCATCAGGCTCGGGAAAAATCTTGGATAGTTTGGAATTCTTTTCAACTGTTTTCCAATGAATTGAGTATCTCTCAAAAACAGCTTCGGTGTCATTCGTGAGCATTGGAAAACAGTTGAAAAGAATTCCAAACTATCCAAGATTTTTCCCGAGCCTCCCATGATAGCTTTTAGGCAACCCAATAGTCTGCGTAACCTGCTGGTGCGGGCTGAAGTGTCTGATAACAGAAGTACTTCTGGAGAATGTCGTTCGTGTGATGAAAAACGCTGCAAATGCTGCCTACAGAGTCATCACTCATCAACTTTTCACAGTAAGGCAACCGAAAATAACTATAAGATATTTTGCAGTGTTAACTGCAAAAGTATGAATGTTATTTACATTCTAGAATCTTCGGTTTGTGGCTTCCAATATGTTGGTGAGTCAAAGCAGCCTTTCCACAAACGCCTCAATGACCATAGGAGTGATATCTCTAAGAAGCCACTTCTCCCAGTTTCTAAGCATTTCAGACAGTCTGGTCACAAACTTGATGACTTTAACCGCATGAAGATCCTAGTGATTGAACAGAACATTCACTGGAGTGATGCCCAGCGACAGGTTCGGGAAAGCTTTTGGATAAAGGAACTAAATGTACATCATCCAAACGGCATCAATAAAAAATACTGAGTTTTATTTTTCACTCATTTTTGGATGTAAATATACACAGTCACGAATATTTGAGTATTGAGTTTTGTTTTATATTATGATGTTCAGGATTTTGGATTAAATCAATAGACCAAAACTTACCTGTATTATTGAGCTATTTTTATACGACCGCAAACAAATTTTTGTGGTCGTATATTGGTATGACGTTGGCGTCGTCGTCGTCGTCCGGCGTCGTCGTCCGAAGACACATTGGTTTTCGCACTCTAACTTTAGTTTAAGTGAATGGATCTCTTTGAAATTTTACCATAAGGTTCAATACCACAAAAGGAAGGTGGGGATTGATTTTGGGGGTTATGGTACCAACAGTTAAGGATTAAGGGGCCAAAAAGGGGCCAAAAATAAGCATTTTCTAATTTCCAGACAATAACTGTAGAACGGTGTATGGATCTCTCTGAAATTATACTACAAGTTTCCATACCACAAAGGGATGGTTAGGATTTGCTTTGGGGGTTATGGCTCAAACCGTTTAGGAATTAGGGGCAAAAAAGGGGGAAAAACAAGGTTGTCCTGGTTAATGGACAAATACTGAAGTACAAAACATAATTTAAAGCAGTGTAAGGGAGATAAATCAAATACATCATTGAAATTATCTCCTTTACACTGCTTTTAAATTATGTATAAAGTAATGGTTAATGAACAATTAAGATAATTTAAAACAGTGTAAGGGAGGTAATCCAAATACAACATTTTGGTTACTTCCCTTACACTGCTTTTAAATTATGTTTAAAGAAATGCATATTTATAAAGGAAGACCAGTTAAAATATCTGCAAATGTTGCATCTTTTTATTTACAAAAAAATCCATATGAAAGATTTGACACTATATTTTAAATTCTATTATAAAATAGATTAAGTTAGCACTATGGTAAATTTAAATGGGTAATTATGGTTGCAAACTCCATTGGAAATTTGAATTGAGATTATGACCATATCTTGAGGGAAAGAATTTTTTTGGGGGAAAAAAGGGGGGGGGGTAAAAAGAAATTGTGGGGGGTCAATTTTCTCATTTCAGATTTCAGAAATTAAAAAGAATTATTCTTCAAATATTATTTTTTTTTCAAATTTCAAATATTGAAAAATTTCAAGAAGTAATCTTTAATTGCACAGTATGGCGCATTAGATATGTAAAATCTTTGACCACATTTATTTATTTGTTATGCCGAATCTAACCGTGTATTTAGATTTTTAATTTTGGGTCCAGTTTTCAAATTGGTCTACATTAAGGTCCAAAGGGTCCAAAATTAAACTTTGTTTGATTTTAACAAAAAATTGAATATACGGGGTTCTTTGATATGCTGAATCTAAACATGTATTTAGATTTTTGATTTTTGGCCCAGTTTTCAAGTTGGTCCAAATTGGGGTCCAAAATTAAACTTTGTTTGATTTCAACAAAAATTGAATATATGGGGTTCTTTGATATGCTGAATCTAACCATGTATTTAGATTTTTTATTTGTGGACCCCGCTATCAAATTGGTTCATATTGAGGTCAAAAGGGTCCAAAATTAAACTTCGTTTGATTTCATCAAAAATTGAATTATTGGGGTTCTTTGATATGCCAAATCTAACCGTGTATTTAAATTTTTAATTTTGGGTCCTGTT